GACTCTGCTCACTGTGCTCTCTGTGCTTTTGCATTCATTGAAAACAATTGTGTAAACATTTTACTCATAAATAAACATTTTTTAAACAAATAGATTTTTGTTACATCTTCTGAAAATTTTATAAATGCTAATTCGCTATAACCAAATAGGTGGTCTTAAAATAAAAGCCACGAGATAAACAGCAAAAGATAATCAAGACATGATAAAATAAAATATCTTATTACTTATTTCACTTAGCACATTTAAAAGTCTAAATTCAGAGTGAATTAAAAATGTAGGACATGTAATGTGAATATCAGCATTGTTTCAAAAGTAAATCAGATCAACAGTCCTATTAGAGAAAGGCAGTGAAACCAGCATAATTTACCTTTAAGAAACAGAGGGAATTCTGGGTAATGCCTTTCCAGAGCTACATGCACAACTAGAAGGCAAATGGTCAAGGTCTTATGAACAGAGATGACTTCACAACAAGAATATAGATGAAAAAATATTTATAATGCAATGAAATGACTAAGCAGCTCGTGTTTATGGTGCATGGATGAAAAAATATCAAAGATCACGTGCAGTATTTGAAAACTGAAAGACAAAATATTAATTTTTTTCATGTTTTGAGCAGAAAATATTTTTTTATTTAACACTTGATTCACAATCTTCTGCTGTTAGTGAGCGAATAACCAACATGACCTTCAGATTTTTTTGAAGTCTAAAGGTCATGTTGGGTAGCAGTTTTGAAACTAAAAACAGACCGTTTTACAGACAGCCAACCGGTTTTATTTGTGACATAACACAAACATAGCAAACTGAATGGTTGACAATAACAGCAGAAAGGCAACGCCAAACTAGATTTAGCATTTTTGTCATTTTTTTGAGTCTCATGTTGACTTTCTGAGACCTTTTTGATTCTTTAATCACATTTTGTTGCTTTTTGTTGTAGCGCTGGAGAAGGCCATGGGATGCAAAGGTTAAGACACTGTCCACAGACAGCTTCATCAGTGTGCTACAGGTTAACATGACTGTTTCCAAACCAGAAAACACACTGTTTATGTCCTCGCCACCGGGAGGGAAACCATAATAAAGTTCCCTCTCCTGACTCCCTTATCTGCTAGAAGTTTACAAGACGTCTCCTTCAGAAGACGAAACTTTTTAATCACATTCTGTTTTATACAATGATTTGTCTCACTTTACAGGTTAATTACTATTACATAAAACAATGAATGCTTCATCTAAAGTGATTTGATGATGTCCTGATTGCTTTACAATAATAATGAATCAAAATGACTGTTTAATGTTGAAATTCATTATTTCAGATCTTAAATACACCAAACAAATCTACTTGATGATTTAATAATGATTTCATTGTCAATAATGTCATTTCTAAATGTCCTAATATTACTCTGTGACACTGTGAATCATTTAAAGCAGACGGTAAACCTGTGGCACACTGATGAAACTGTGTGTGGACAGCGTCTTAACCTTTGCATTCCACGGCCTTCTCCAACGCAACACCGTTAACACATTTGTTCATGATTTTCTCCACTATCATCTTTGAAATTTGACTAATGCTCCGACCACATTGTACATTTTTCACCATCCTAGACAAATCTCTTGCTTATAACAGAATTCCATCCATCCATCCATCCATTTTCTTCTGCTCATCTGGAGTCAGGTCACAGGGGCAGCGGCCTAAGTCGAGAGGCCCAGACTGCCCTCTCCCCAGCCACTTGGGCTAGCTCTTCCGGGGGGATCCCAAGGCGTTCCCTGGCCAGGTGAGAGAAATAGTCTCTCCAGCGTGTCCTGGGTCTCCCTGTAGGTCTCCTCCCAGTTGGGCGTGCCCAAAAAACCTCACCAGGTAGACATCCAGGAGGCATCCTGACCAGATGCCGGAGCTACCTCAACTGACTCTTCTCGATGTAGAGGAGCAGCGGATCTACTCCGAGCCCCTCCTAGATGACCGTGCTTCTCACCCTATCTCTAAGGGAGAGCCCAGCTACTCTGCGGAGAAAACTCATTTCGGCCGCATGTACCCGCGATCTTGTTCTTTGTGTCACTACCCAAAGAATACCCATGAACAGAATTGTGACAAAAAACCTGAGATTTGCAAGTCTCTGGCTGTCCAGTGAGACTGGCCAAGCAACAGTTTTTGAGCACTCTCACGACTGAAGTCAGCCTCAGTCTACTTTAAAACCTACGAATCCTGTCTGCAATCGACCAATGAAAATACACCCAGGGAGTGACGGGAACAACTAGTTCCTGAAGAAGGAGCACCAGACCATTGTCCCACAGAAGTTGACTCACAAGGCTTATTCTAGAGGTCACTGCAAATCTGTTGAAAAAAAAACAAGTGAACTTGGTCTTTAAACTTTTATCAAAGTTTTTTTCTATTCATCTCCAAAATCAAAACTCATAAAATAAATTATCCTAACCCTGCTGAAACTTTATGACCATTTTAGATCAAATTATCAGAATCAGAATCAGAAAAACTTTATTTATCCCCGAGGGGCAATTAAAAAAAATAACAGCAGAGCAGCATGATGTTGGACATATGAATATTGAATAAACAGGCAATGAGGAAGTAATAAAGCAGCGAGAAGATGGATAAAACTGAAAAATATGCAAAAAACACTGAGATGGATAAAACAGTAAAGTATGCAAAAATCACTGAGTAAGTGAATAAAGTGACTAAAGTGTCGTCTGTATAAAAGTTAAATATTTGGAGAGCCCAAGGAGCGGGTTTATCGGGGGGTCTTATCTTATCTGCTGGGGTTAAAGAGCAGAATGGCTTTGGGGACAAATTATGTGTAAAACATGTTAGTGTACTCTAGTTGTTATTCAAAGACAGGTAGTTATTCGGTTCAGACATTTAGGACTATAAATGGTGAAACAATGGTAAATGGCTTGTTTTTATATAGCACTGTATAAGGTCTTACAACACCTCATGACGCTTTACAACACAAACGTCGTTCACTCATGTATACACATTCCCCTTACTGGTTGTGATGAGCTACAGTGTAGCCACAGCTGCCCCGGGGAGCACTGATGGAGGTGAGGCTGCTGAACACTTTCACTGGCAGTGCCTCTGACCACCACCCGTGGATGTAATTTTGGGGGGGACGTGTCCCCCCCACTTTTTCCAAAGTCAAGTTTTGACCCCTGCACTTTTTACCATCCAAAAACAATATTACGCTATATTAAATTGACACTGGTTGAGCTCTAGGACCAAGCAGAAAACAACTGTTTGTGTTGAAGCCTGTTTCCCATTAGAACATACTGTAAAGATCCCCCCCCCCCCCCCCCCCCCCGTGTCCCCTCCACTTCTAAAGTGAAAATTACGTCCTTGCCACCACCAGCAGGCAAGGCGAGTTAAAAGTCTTACCAAAGGACATAATAACTGTCCACATGGGGCTTGAACCTGCAAACTTGCAGTTACGGAACAGGCACTCAACTCCTCTGCCACCATCACCTCGTACTCTAGAGCTGCTTCAACATCACTTCAGTCAGATTTTAAATTTCCAACCAAAGGATCAGATTTATCATTTAAGTCAGATCTCGTCATCCACCACGCTGCATGCCATGAAATTAAAGGACTAAACATGATAAAACTCTTTGTGGTAAAGAGTAGTGTGCTAACTTTGATTCAGAAATGCAAGTTCCTAAACACTCACGGAGCACAAAGCATAAATAGCTACACCCGTGTTCAGTTTTAACTATCTGTGCTGGACCATCTGTGTCGTTTGGAAATGTTTAAAGAGAGGAGAATGCAATTCAAATGCACGTGCTTGTACTTTCCCTTAGGGAAATCACATGTCAACTCTCCGAATGCTCCAGTCACTCCAGCAGCATCCCCTATCTGGTTTTCTTGTTGTGCTGGAGGTGCTCGCTGCACCACATCTCTTCAGTCAGAGGTTGAAGCGAGCCTTGGAGGTGAGGCCTCTGGACTTAGGGTTCTGCAGGCCCAGATGGCCTGACCCTGATAGCTCTGCTTAGGCCAAGAACAAACAAACAAAAAAATGCACTCAAACTGAATAAGAATTTGCAAAGTCATCATCTTTTTTGCTTGCAATGCATCTTGCTGCTGCAGCATTGCACTTGTAACAATGTATTCAAACTCCACAGGAGTTCAGACTTTGCAGCTGAGACTGCGCCCTCCAAATAAAAATGGAGAGCTAAAGTTGCTGAGCATTTTTCTTTGCCTTATAACAATCATAACTAACAGATTATCGAGGGCCATGTGAATGTAACATCACAACACGGTCACCATGACGATGACCAGGCTCATTTCATTAATGCAAACCAGACACTAAGCCATTTGTCTGTTCTCCATCAACATGATTTCAGTTCAGATCCTGTCCAAATTCTGACGACTAGTCCTGGCACGCAGAATAAAGACACGGAGGAATTACAGCCCTCTGTTAATCTCACACAAATCACCTCCTCATCTGTGCTTTGTTGTATTATTACAGACTAAAACGTGCGTAATGGATACATCTTTGTGTGTTGGACAGAGGAAGTCCTCTGTCAACATGCGCTGATGCTTGCTACCACACTCCAACAAGGTGAAAGTGTAAACACAAAGTTGGAAAGGACGTGTAGCGGGAACGGAGCAAATGACTTGTTCTTGCTGTTATCTGGCCATGTGCCGGGCTGGAAGATCTAAATATTTTGACACTTGATATGACGGAGCATACCAGCTGGTTACATTTTAGCTGATCTGCGCTGAGGCAAGGTGGCTTGTGTCTTGGTGACACTGCTGTCCTCAAAGTCCCCTGTCTTCATCTCCCTAAAGTTGTTTCTTCATAGCTGTCCCCCTTTCTGTGCGTGTTATGTAAATGTCAGACAACAGAGGTGGCTAATCTGCGTCTGCTGTGGCTGAGATGTGCATGTCTACATTCTCTGTGACAGAGTAAGACAGAAATGAGAATTTTTTTTTTATTGCAAATGTGTTCCTCAGCATTAAGCTGAGATGGAAACTCAGAAGCCCAGAGAGAAAGTAAGAGGAAAGAGAGGGAGGAAGACTCATCATCTGCTACAAATGCTTCACATGTATGTTGGGGAGGGGGGTGGACTGTGTTGAGATTAGCACGCTCCCTCAGCTGGGTGTTCATTTCAATCTGCAGTACAATATCCTCAAGTCTGAACTTTTGGATGAGGGTCATTTGCCAGAGGAGGATTTCACCCGACGTCTTTCTTGGTTTTTTCTTTTTTACTTCCTTCTTGGGCAGAAGGCTGGTAATAGAAGCCAGACACAAGCCAGAATGGGAGGCATCCACCGCAGCAAGACGTCAACTCTTACCGAGTGATGACGCGGCTGAAAAAGACATTCTAGTTCAGCACGTTTAATTTTTATCAATCTGGAAGTTTTAAAAAGGACTAAGAAGGGAAATGCTTTCCACGGATTGGGCTGTGCAGGAAATATCTAGCAGAGCAAAGTAGAACTTCAGAATGGGAAATGTCCATGCAGCCTTTCCAGGTGAGCTCTTTTCCTTAAATCTATTTTGTAATTTACTTTTTGCCAGAACTTTTTAAAAGTACTTGGCCTGTTATAAAACACTCTGACTTTTTTCTGAATGCTAGTAAAAAAACAACAAGAACTGCATCCTGAAAATGATATTTTTGGAATTTGACTGTTGGACAAAAGTAATAAAGAGAAAACAGAAAAAATGATTTTTTATATAGTTCATGTTGTTTATTAAATTCATTACACAATTTGTTTAAACTGTATAAAAAACATACTTGTCAAATAAATGTATCAAAAAAAAGTTACGTTGTGTTCGTAATTGTAATTTTTATTCAAATTTGTTATTTTTTTATTATCAAGGATGTAAAATTAAATGTTAAAAATAAATTAAATAAAAATGTCAGTATTTTACTCAGATTTTACATTAACAATGTAATGCATACAATTATTATTTACTGTTTTTGTATTTTTATACAAGTTCATCTCAAAATTTTTCATTTCTTATTTAAATTATAAAAATGTTTGCATGCAAAGCCGACATTGATATGTCCTGCTCATGTTTTTGTCAATCACTGTTTCTGTGCAAGACTTGATACAATTTTAATCAAAACACATAAGTTGCGCATATAATGTGTTTTTCTCTCAGTTAAAACAGCCCCTTTGTAAAATAGAAAACATAAAATAAATAAACTTTCAGCAACCAGGTTACATTTTTATTTTGTAATAACAGGATTAATGCTATACAAACATTTTAAATCGGAGTTGTCAGCGGCCCTTCTGTCATGACCTTCTGGGGCAGGCATGAGCCACACAACGTTGGTGCCATCTGCCTCCGAGTGGACCTACTCCAACCCAGCTTCAGCTGTGCTGGATCTGGAGGGGAGGCCTTGTGGCAGAGCGTCAAGCCTCTCCTGTTCACTCAGTTGGCAGGAGAGACAACACATCACACATCTAGTACAGTATCACAGCCATGAGATCAACATGAGCTCTCTGTACATGAATGAACGTGTGAAGCTGACGTTGATTGCCTCATTGGATCTGTGGTGATGCTGGCTGAGAGGAGAGGATGACCCTGAGTACTCGTGTCATGGATTTTTTTCCCCTCTGTATGACTGCTGGCTTGTGTTGAAGCACAGAAAGTGGCGTTCTAGCTTTGTGGCTTTAGTTTTCAGCCTCTATCTTTTTGCCTGGTGTAACTTGGTATTGGGTTTAAGCGTGCACTTAGAGCTTTCCCTTTGTGCTGTCATCTTCATTTTATGTTGTAATCTTTAAAAAAAGATGTAGGCCTCTTCAAACTTCAGGTAGTTGTTGGTAAAACTATTGTTTGAGAAAATGGATTTGGAAAACGATTAAAAAAGAAATGTTTCCACTTCAAGTGAACATAACATTCAGGATTGTCTTGATAAAAAGGTTTTTTGCAGAAAAGACACATCCACAATTCTAACTTACTTTTTGTAACAAAAATTTCAAAAGAAATAAAAACATCTGCACAATTTCTATGGATCTGTACAACATTACAGCTGAAAAAAACTGAAAGCAATTTCCTGTAACCAGCAATCGTGACATAGAAATAATCAAACATGCTTCTCAGATGTGAATATTTGCTCTTTTGGTATTCTTTGAAGATAAATTAGATTTTTTTGTGTGTGTATTTATTTTTACAGATTCTAGTTAAGAAGCTTGTAGGAGCAACATGAGCTGGAGCTTTCTCACTCGCCTTCTGGAGGAGATCCACAACCACTCCACGTTTGTGGGGAAAGTGTGGCTGACTGTGCTCATCATCTTCCGCATTGTCCTCACCGCAGTTGGAGGCGAGTCCATCTACTCCGATGAACAGACAAAGTTCACCTGCAACACCAAGCAGCCAGGCTGTGACAACGTGTGCTACGATGCCTTTGCTCCCCTCTCTCATGTCCGCTTCTGGGTCTTCCAGATCATCATGATCTCCACCCCCTCCATCATGTACATGGGTTACGCTATCCACAAGATAGCTCGAACTTCAGAGGAGGAGCGCAGGAAGCACCTGAGGCTCCGCAGGAAGCCGCCTCCTCACTCGAGATGGAGAGAAAATCAGCATCTCGAAGGTGGCTTGGAGGAGGAGGAAGGTGACGAGGCTGAGCCCATGATATATGAGGAAACACTGGAGGTGCAAGAGGCCAAGCCTGAAACAGTGACTAGCAGTAACAGAGATCAACCAAAACACGATGGCCGAAGAAAAATAATGCAACAAGGCCTGATGAGGATTTATGTTCTCCAGCTCATGTCAAGAGCTGTTTTTGAAATAGCTTTCCTTGCTGGACAGTATCTCCTTTATGGTTTTCGAGTGAATCCCTCGTTCGTGTGCAACAGAGTACCCTGTCCACACAGAGTGGATTGCTTCATCTCCAGGCCAACGGAGAAAACCATCTTCCTTCTAATTATGTACGTAGTCAGCTGTCTGTGTCTTGTGTTAAATGTGTGTGAGATGCTTCACTTGGGATTAGGCACTTTTCGGGACACCCTTCACGTCAAAAAGAACCGTGGCAGACGTTCTATGTCCTACAGCTACCCGTTTTCCCGCAACATCACAGCCTCGCCACCTGGGTACAACCTCGTGATGAAAACAGACAAACCAAGTCGGATCCCCAACAGCCTCATCACGCACGAGCAGAACATGGCCAATGTGGCCCAGGAGCAGCAGCAGTGCACCAGCCCAGACGAAAACATCCCATCTGATCTCGCAAGTCTACACCGGCACTTACGGGTCGCACAGGAGCAGCTGGATTTGGCCTTTCAAACCTACCAAACCAAAAACAACCAAGAGACCTCGAGGACCAGCAGTCCTGTTTCCGGAGGCACTATGGCAGAGCAAAATCGAGTCAATACCGTCCAAGAGAAACAAGGAGCGCGGCCAAGATCAGCCACAGACAAAGCTGCAACCATTGTGAAAAATGTAAAGACTTCCGTGTGGATATAGAGATTAATCTGTAAACTGACATTAAAACTTTTAGATCTACTGAACTGCACAACTGTGAGACAGCTGGCGGATGTATGTGAGAGAGAGAATTTTAGTTAAAACCACCTGGGATTTCAATCCTACCAGCGGCAGAAGGGTAGTGTAGTCTTTACGAACAAACAAAACCACGAGTTGATCAAAAATAATGTTGCAGATCTTCTGCTTTTGTTGTGAGTTAAGTTGCTGTAGATGTTGGTTCTAGAAAAAAAACATATTGTTTTGTTAAGCATCTTTAATTACAGCTAAAACTCCACGGCTTATCTCCTTTAACACCAACTGATGGGAACTGGTCCGTGTGATGCATGCTCAACCCGGTTTTTAGTCAAACACCGGAACTGCACCGTGACTCGTTTTTTAAACATGGCCGGTACTGATAGAAAGATGCAAGTTAAATGTGAAATCTTTCTATAATGATAATGAGACCGGGTGTGTCATTGAAGGCTTGTCTGGTAGACATCTGCCTCTTGTGATTGCGTCTCTAAAGTCATCGCGTGAGAAGCATTCATCAGTGCCATTCTTACAAAAACCTTACAGTATAATCAATGCAGTTAATAAAGAGGAATTTTGAATTATTCTCAAAAGTAAATATTAATTTCCTATTATTAAAGCTGCTAGAAAACCTATAGAACAAGCTGGGTTTTGAATGCAAATGCAGTCTTGGAGCACACACACGCACACACACACACACACCCGGTATCTCCCCTGAGACACTTCTGCCGGAACCGGAAACCGGCATTGCTAGAGGAAACGAGAAAGTGCTAAACACCAGTTGGCATTTTCTAGGTCCTTTTGTTGTCTTCAAATGGTGTTTTTCTTTTTGGGACTCTGTGGTAGCAGCCGGCTGTCCTTCTCTGAAATTACTGAGCCGAGAACCTCTCACACCAGTGGTGCTCTGTTGCTAAATACATGAGTACGTTATGAGTGGAGGACCCAGGGATGAGCGGAATTGCAGTGATTCTGCAAGACCGACAACCAGATGGTCCAATAGTTTCTTTCAGTCTTAACCGTGTTATTAGCGGAGGTCTTTAGACAGATGCAAGAGAACCACTTTATTAATTTTTTTTATTATCTCCAAACATGTATAGCTGTTCTTTGTTAAAAGGTGCTTAAGAGTCATGAAAAAAAGCTAACTTGTTTTCCAAATTTGCCAAAGCAGCTTTAAATGACATACATATTCTAAATGTAAACATACAATATAGGCATTAATAAAAGAAAACACATTTAATCAGTATCACATATCTAAAATGAGACTAAGATTTGCTGAGTAAAAGACTATTCTGCCTTCAGCTTTTCTTATTTCAAAGTGCCTACAACTTTTAAAGACTGTCTTAGTATTTTATTTATTATAAAATATGAAACTTCAGTCTTCTCATTATGTCATATGCTCTCTATAACTCACCATGTTAATAAACACACATTGTTTGGTTCAAAGTTAGAATATTTCAAAAAAGTTGGATTGTTGCAGATCTGCAAACACCATAAAAAAGTATTTATTTTCCAAAAACAACAATAAAATAAATATCTTTCCTATTGTTCATATTCTGTTACTAACCACAATAATTAAAAAAAGTAAATTCTAATGATAAAAAAAACTCTTGATGATTACTAATGATGCGAAAACAATACCATAAAAAAGAAATGGCCTGTCGTTTTTACAGAATTTTGTGGATAAAAAAAGAGTAAAAGGCCATCTTGAAATGTACAGATGGTATAAATTATTTTTAATGTAGCAGTTTTATTAATGAAGATTTAAGGTATGTGCAAAAGGCTGACTGGTTGAGAAAAAGTAGCACCAGATGTGAAGTTACTGTTACAACTATTGGACACTTGTGTACACAATAACAGATTTACTTGAATGCAAAAAAAAAAAAAAATAAATAAAATAAAATAAAATAAAATAAAAAATAAATAAATAAAAATCATAGTTATATTAAATTATCTGAATACTCATATAAGGTTAACAACATTTCCACATTTCAGATGCTAAAAGAACTGTACCTAATCGGTGGATGTTCAAACATCTGAACATCAGGGGGTACAGTTTTAGAGAAAATGTGGTAAATTACAGTGAAGCTCGTTTTTAAAGTAAATAAAAGTATACAAATAATGTGTGTGGAGAGTTATTACTTATTGTTTGGTTTCAAGCATTTCTGCTTTTGCATAATATTTACACACACACACACACACACACACACACACACACACACACACACACACACACACACGCACACACACACACACAGCTAAAACTCCACGCACACACGCACACACGCACACACACACACACACACACGCACGCACACACACACACACACACACACACACGCACACACACACACACACGTTGTCGTTATAGATCCATCAGGTAGACTATAAGTGTAAAAGCCAGATATTAATGGATTATTAATATATTAATATTGATAGAAAAATGTATCATATTTTCCTGTTCTAGTGCTTAACCATTGGGAATTTTGAAGTGAAGTTGAATAGGATATTATAAGTCATTTGTCGCTGATCCAAAACTCACCATTTTGAAAGCTGAAAGTAAAATCTTCCAGATCTGTTACTGTGAATTGGTGATTTGGGATTTTGAGTTCACTACAAAGAAAAAATGCCAGATGTTTTTGTCAATAATGGTGCCTTCTGTTATGAGGTGTGTTTTTAACAAACCTGTCAATTGGAAATTATTACGTTTATAGCCTTAAAAAAGTCAGTTTTCACAAGTAACCAGTGTCATAAGGTAAATATTATTAGCAATTAAAATATAATGTAAAATTTAAAGCAAAAATACAGGTTTAATCTCTACAGCTGATGTTTTATTAATGATATTAGAATATAATTTATTATTCCTGCAGTGGAAAATCACTCGTTATTGATATGTAAATAAATTAATATCAATATATTTCATATTATTTATTAACTGTTTTAATAAGTTGCCGCCTCGCTCACGTGACCATTATTATCGAGCATTGCATTGTGGGACGGCAAGATGGAGTCTTCTTTGCGGGTCGTAGTTGTTATTCCTTGGTGAAGTAGCGTTTCGCTGCTATTGTAAACGCATTACTGACCCGGTAACAGACTCAAAACACTCCCGTGTCTCAGGAGAGCATGGGGTCTTGGTGCTTCTTCCGGGGTGCGCTCACCAGTTTCGGTGTGAAGCCCAGAGTTCCCCTCGCGTTGTTTGTGACGCCTCTCTCCAGAGATGCAGCTCCAGCGGGGGTCCGGGTGAAGAGGTACAGCCAGGACACGGGTAAAGCTGTACGGGGGAAGTCTGTGTGCTATCACCTACCTCAGAGGACCTTGCTAAAGATTCAAGGCCGAGACACCAGTCCGTTTCTCCAGGGGCTAGTAACCAATGACATGAGGGTCCTGGAGGAGCCTGGACGTGCAGCCATTTACTCACACATGCTGAATGTGCAAGGAAGGACGCTATATGACATTATGCTGTACAGGTCAGTGTATTCTGCTGTTCAAATGGACTGGACTATTTATGTAGCATCTTCTATGGTTCACGCACGCACGCACGCGCACACACACACACACACACACACACACACACACACACTGTTTACTACTACAGAATCATATTCTTTACTTGGTAAATAGACATCAGAACCCACCACGCACCTGAGATTTTAGAGACCAAACCCTTTTAGGTGTTTCTGCAGTCATTTGCATCATTTTATTATCTTTAGAGGCTCTTGACTGAAGCCAGTCCTGCTGACATTAGATAAGAAGCAATTGCATTTTGAACAAGTTATCAGTCTAACACAGAAACAGATCTGTGTGCATGCATACAGCAGGACTCATTTAACCTACCTAAAGCTGTTCACACATGTTGCATCACTTTATTACTTTGCAGGAATCCAGTAATTTTTATCTTATTCTTTCAGTGGGTTAAGTTTCTGACACTTTTCAGTTCTTTCTCTTGATCCATCTTGTTTGATGTGTTTAAATGTCACATGATGTTCATTTTATGTTTTCTGTCCAAATAATAGGACTGCCACATGTTTATCTCACATTTTAAACCTTTAATGCTTTCTGTACATAAAATAGAAGCAGAATGTTTGCATTTTTTTCTGTTCTCATCCTCTGGTCATCTGTTTGATTATTTTATTTCTACAGATGAAAAATTCATGTGATTTTGTTGCCTGATGCTGCTTTGTATTTTTTTTTAATTTTTGGATAAATAAATACAGTCAATATTTTGGGTTAATTAGCCTACTATAAGAGAAAAACAATAGTTCATTTTTCTAAGTCATATTTTCACCATGTTTTTCATACATTCATACAAATGTTAAAGATCCCGATTAAATGTTTAGTTAGCAAGCTAAGTGTTTAATTTAGAATCAAATAATTATTTTCTAAACATAGGTTGGATCCAAATATTTAGTTTGTAAAATAAATATTTAATTAGCTAAATAAATATTTTATTTTGTGTTTACAAACTAAATATCCAGCACCAAATGAATTATTTGTTTTCCAAAATAAATATTTAGATCTTAGCTAAATATTTATTTTGGGGCTATACCTAAATATTGAATTTGTAAACTAAATGTTTAGCTCCAAAATAAATATGTAGCTGGGATCAAAAGATTTATTTTGGAAAATAAATATTTTATTTGGAGCTAAATATTTTGTTTGTATACAAACTAAATATATTTAGATCTTAGCTAAATATTTATTTTGGGGCTATACCTAAATATTGAATTTGTAAACTAAATGTTTAGCTCCAAAATAAATAAGTAGCTGGGATCAAAAGATTTATTTTGGAAAATAAATATTTTATTTGGAGCTAAATATTTTGTTTGTAAACTAAATATATAGCTCCAAAATTTAATAAGTAAATAAAATATTTATATTACAAACTAAATATTTAGTTCTGACCTAAATATTTAGTGTGTAAAATAAATATTTACCTCCAAATTAAATATTTAGCTTACTAACTAAATATTTAGTAGTGAACTTTGACGTTTATATACATGTATGAATAACACAGTGGAAATCAGATTTTGAAAAATTAACTCCCTTTTTTTTCTCTTATGATGCACTAAATAGCCCATCATACTGCTTTTAAATTATGACTCATTAACTTTACAAATGGTACACCATAGCTAATAGAAATAAAAACAAACACACCAAATCACTATTTATAGTCTGCTGACCTCATGTCCTATTATAGGTCAACCCAGGAAAGGTGTCTCTCAATAACAGTCTGGCATTTTAAAAATATATATTTTTGTTTCAGTTTGACAGAAGAAGAAGGCGTATATGATGTTCTCTTGGAGTGTGACAGCACAGTTACAGACTCAGTCTTGAAACACTTGAAGGTGTACAAGATTCGGAGAAAGGTCAACATCAGCCCGTGTCCAGAGCTCTCCGTGTGGGCGGTGCTTCCCCAGCAGAGCGAATCAAATCAAGATCCTGGTAAACCTGAGATTTCTGCCCCTGATAAAGCTCTGGTATGGGAGGCTGATCCTCGAACACTTCAGATGGGGTGGAGATTAGTGTTACAGAGTGATGTTGACCCCTTGGACATCATTGCATCTTGTGAGAAAGGAGACACGGAGGACTACCACAGACATCGCTATTCAATAGGTATGACCGGTTTGGTAACAGATGACAGCTCTTTTGTTTGGGGTGTTTGTTTGAAAGTGTGCACTTCAAATGTTTTGACAGGTTTTTTTTTGTTTTGTTATTGCTGTCATTACTGTTTAGGAGTTCCCGAGGGAGTGAAAGACCTTCCTCCTGGAGTAGCACTACCACTAGAGTCAAACCTCGTCTACATGCAGGGCATCAGCTTCACCAAGGGCTGTTACATTGGCCAGGAGCTGACGGCCAGGACTCATCACACCGGGGTGATCCGGAAACGCCTCATGCCAGTGAGGTTTTCGTCTGCAGTCCAACAACTCAAGGAAGGAGCTCCATTGCAGACGTCGTTGGGCAAGCCTGCTGGGAAGCACCGGGCAGCGTTTGGCAAACTGGGTCTGAGCCTAATCCGCACGGAACATGCCAAAGAAGTGTTGACGCTCAAGTCTTCTGACGACAACACAGTGACACTTAAAGCCTCGGTGCCAGACTGGTGGCCCCAGGATGCGAAAATTAAGTGAAGAGGAGAGTGTTCCATAGCCCCTTGGAATGTGACATGCATCACATCTGACAGGTTTTTGACTGACAGAACACTGAAGTAAAGCGTGTTGCACCCCCGTTGCTTTAGTTTCTTTCCACAGCAAACACTGTGCTTTTCTTCACAGTTGCATGATAAAGTAAATAACAAACATGACGTGGCATTTGTGGTTACTTATTGTAAAAGAACTGCAACATAAAACTCAGGTTATAAATATTTTTTATTTATGCATGAGTTTGTTTCATAGCAAAAACAAACTAGACATTCAAAAGCAATGCAGCCATTCAAGCTTTTATCACAATCTTTTCCAAACTAAACAAATGGGCACTTTTCATTCAAGCTATTCCAAGCCGTTGAAATGGACCATTTATTCCTGGTAAAGGAGATGCCGCCCTCTTGTGGACTGTATGGTATCTCGGATTTGCTGCACCATGGCTTCTGGCTGCAGAGTCAACGTTGAACGATCGAGCCGCTTGAAATCTTCATTACACAAAAGGCATTCAATAATATAAGCCACTCGCTGGAGGTCAAAGGCTGCATGGTAAGGTCCGAGTGTGGTGAAAGTTTCTGAGAGGTGTCGTGAGTAATCGGAGGACTCGCCAGAGGAGCATGCGTTCAAAAAAGCCATCCGATTTTCGGCAATTATTTTTAGGAAGGAGGCAAATTCCCCATAATCGATACCAGAGCAAGCTTTCATGATCACCTGAAAGAAGACACAATTACTACTATATGGTAGCAGCATGTTCCTATGGCATGCTGACAGCCTTATCTCATGTGAAACATACCTGGCAGTGCTGATGCCATGAATCCATTGTGTTTTTCCATTCATCTATCTCCTTTTGAACAGAGGACAGCTCGTTCTGTAGGAATTGCCACATGATGTCAATGTTGCAGCCATTCAGCCAATTATGATTAATAGAAATGGTGTCCTCCTGGGAAAAAAAGTGTCAAAAACTGATGAAAACAGCTACATCTGTCACACATAGCACAATGTTTTCTATTCATTAGCAAACATTTTTTGTTGCGGCTCAGTTCTCACCAGATTATAAACTTGATGGTGCCAGCCACTCGGCACAAAAATTATTTCACCTGCCTCTTGGATAATTTCAAGAGGCTGGCATGCTTCTTCAAACTGTGGGAAAAGGTTTCCATCCTGAAGCTCAGCTGATGTGACATCATAAGGGAGGTTGCCATGAGTGTCTCGTAAAAAATCCTCTTGACCAGGAGGATAAAGCAGCCACTTCTTCCTACCACAAATGTTTGCGGACCAGCTGTAGGAGCGGAACACATCAGCGTGGAACGGAGTCCTGGACACAACAAAAAGGCAGTGGATCGAATAGAATAACGAAACATTAGTATATTATGAGTTTTACCTGTATTGTTTTATCTTTTCCATACCATGAGCCTTTAGGTCCCATGTAGACAAAACGGTAGTCATCCACCTCCAGTGTATCCCAATATTCATTAAGCCAGTCAGAAGAGAAGAAGACTGGTGTTGTGTAAACATTATGTTCAGGAAAGTCCCTGTTGCATAATATAAAAAGGAATTAGGAAAATATACAGTAACCTGAACTATGTCAAAACAAAACATTTAAAATAATACTGCTATTAAAAAATAACTGAAAAAAAAACCGAATGCATATGCGCTTAGAATGCACATTTGTAATTTTCTATGTAAATAGATCATACAATTAAAATTTTTGTTAATAAATTAGAATGAACAAAACATTTAAGATCAAACTTAATTCGTGTCAGGTCAATACACACTGCTTATGACCCTTGCAAAACGGTGTTATGTTTGTTCATTTAGCAGATCAGGTTACCCAGCATGCATGTTTTAGCCTTTATTATTGTGAAATTCCTTTTTATATATTATATTCTTCACATTTTAAAGCTGTGCAATAGAAAAACGCATGCACCATACCTTGACATATGCCAGTCTTTCAGATAGAGACATCCTTTGGGTGAGGAGTGTCCATTCTGAATGTATTCCTTCCAGTAATGTATAAATTCTTTAAAAGGCATTACTTGTTTGGGGTTGGCGTTGTATTCCTTTGCATTGCAGTTTGCAACAGGGACAGGAGTTTCATCTGTGAATGAAACATAAGCGTAAATACGCGTGATTTGAAATCATGGTGCATGCAAAATTAAATGTATTTACCAAACTCTTGTAGCAGCTTTTGGAAATTAGGTTTACCCTCCTCAGTCACCCACTGTTTTCTGCACTTCCAGCCTTCTGTGAACTTTCTCGAGAACATGCATGGGTGATTCGCTAGCAGGTATTTCTTGAAAAATTTGGAATAGCTCAGGTCCTTGTCGATGTAGTCTACAAAATGCGATGACCAGAACAGTTCGTAGGACTGACTTGGTATTTTGACCAGGCTGCAGCAGTTGCGGTACGCCTCTCTGTCCATGTTTGTAAACAAGAGCCCGGCTAGCTGGTTAGCAAGCTAGCTAATGATGTTTCTCCTTGTTTACTGTATGGACATCCAGAAACAGACAGAAAAAAAGACAGAAGAATAAAAATGACATTGGTGTAAGTAGGTCTCATTTAAGGCCAAACTAAATATAAAATAAACGATTTTTCATATACAAGTTACTCCGACAACAGGTCAAAGTCCTATGGTTCCCTAGCATCGCAAATATATCAGCGCAGTTTCTGTTTATGTCAAGTTTCGTATACCAACGTTATGTTCAATTATCATGCAAATATTCCGCTTAATTCAAATCGTTCACACACCGCACTCGATTAGTGTTTGAATGTTTTAGTCTCAACCGGAAGTGCTTAAGTCGGACAATAAATCCAACCGTACCGGTGTGACGTCACTTCCACGATAAACAGCTACCAAGAAGAATGCGAGGTAACGTCATGTTTTACTTGTTGGCGGTCTTTTAGCTGTGGGGAGGTTTCTATTTTACGAGCAGGAAGTTGCAAAGATATATTAAAGTTCAGTTGTCTTAAATTCACTTTGGTGATGCGGATAAATAGCTTAACCTGTCTGCTTGAACGTGTCATCTGAGCTCATCTGCTGCATGGCTTATTCTGAAAAAAGTATGTTCACTACCAAGGCACAAACAGGTCCGTCAGTTATGATATAACTAAATAAATATAAGGGAATCATCTCCATGTGAGCGCTCAGTCCTGTCTTTCTTTGTACCAGGTGGAATTTAACATTTCCTCCCTAAGATGAGCCGGGACGTTCCCATCCACAGCTGGCCTGGCTCCTATTACATCAACAATGAGAAGCGGTGGGAGAGTGGAACCCTGTCCCTCTCCAGAACCATGGTGTGCTTTGTTTCAAGCCTCAGCAAGAACTGTCTCGTCAGTTTCCGTCTGTCATGTATCATCGAGATCAAGATGGAGTCGTCTAGTTTCATCTTCAGCACCCTGACGGTGCTTGAGGAAGGAAACGTGAAGCACTGGTTTGGTTCCCTTAAACCCAACCGAGTGGTTGTTTATAATGTGTTGGAACATTTCTGGAGAGAGCGTCTTCTGTCTCCCACTTCAGAGGCTCAAGGGGCTGAGTGCCAGATTTCTAAGGGGAGAGAACTGATCAACCTAGTGACGGGGGCCCAGAGACGATTGGAGGACACGGGCAGAGTCCTCAGCCATCAGGGAGAGCAGTTTGACAACATGATGCAGGGACTGGAGAAGATTGACTCCGATCTGGGCGTTGCTGACAAGTAATTATTCAAAAGTCTTTTTAGAATTGAGTTTTGCTCTTTTATGTCTTGATGATGCTGCATTTATTTACATGTGTTTCTCAATACTCTGTATTGCAGACTTCTGTCAGAACTGGAGTCCCCACCCTGGTGGCCTTTTGGCAAATTCCCATGGAAGGCTCAGCAAGAGGCCAAGGCTGAAGACGCTGCCAGAGCTGCAGCTGTCCTCTCAGCAGGCAAGGGTTCCAGCAGGAATAAGGTGATCACAAGCATCCCAGCGGTGGTGTCCAAAGGTGGAGACTCTGACTTGAAACCTGGATGTTTGCTAGTGCTGGTGTCCTCACTGGAGGTGCGAGACACAAATTGCCAACTCCTACACAAATTCGAAAGGAACGAGATTGATGAAATACGGGTGTGCAATTCCTATGAGATCACAGTGAGACAGCGGTTCATTGGGAAACCAGATATATGTTACAGGTTTCTTTCTGCAAAGATGCCAGAAGCCTTGTCTGTTTTGGAGATGCAATACAAGAAGAAGGTAGAGTTTACAAGTGAATACACCACTTTCAAGGCAACTCCATGTTCATCTGTTTGTGGCAAAGAAGGGACACACTGGAGAGAAGGTAAGAACAGAGTCAGGTGAATCTTTGTGTATTACCCATGCTTATTCTACATGTTACCACCGGGTGGCAGCAAAGAGCATATTTCTAAGCAACCACATGTTAAAACATTTCATCATGGTTATTGGTGTTTCTCTTTCACAGAAATGTATTTTGATGAGTCACTTCACCTTGACTGCTTTAGTTGCTGTATTTTGAGTTTACTGTCTGGTTTACGTATAAACAACACACTGCTTGCACTTCACACTTCCTCACCATCTCCACCCATGGAAATCAGGTTTACGGCAGACGAGCCGAGAGTCTGAGCTCCCACTGGAGGTCCCAGCAGGTGAGCTGTCCCAGTTGCAGGTGCAAGCTCTCCAGCCATCTGTCAGTCAGGCTGAGGCGCAGGAACTCAAGCAGGTGAGAAACTTGGATTTTCATAGCCGGTTTAAAAACAAAGTAGCACTGCTGCTGCTTTTAATTTGTGAAAGAAATTTGTGTAAAGACTCCAGATTCTGTTGCCGGAAGCTATTTTCACCTCCTGCTGAATTCTCTGTGTTGAAACATGGTGCAGCTGAACCCCAACTGATACTAAAACAAATCAGAAAGTTAAAAGATCAACACTGTTGGACGAAAAATAATCATATTTGTTGTTCAGTAACAACAAAGCCAGGTCACCATCTTGTAATTTCATAGCACTCTTTAGCTTCAGTAACCCACACCAATAATCACTCTGGTTATAGCTCTTTGCTTTGCATCCAAAGACATTAGCATACTTCCAGGCTCCGCCAAGAAAACGCAAAATTCTTCTTCTTCTTGTGTTTTTATTAAACTGAAAATGCTAACTGCTAGCCTTTATAATAGCTATCCCCCTACTGCACCAACCCACACTAGTATTTGAAAGCAATGGCTTAAATAGTTAAAAACTGTTTAGTGTTGCTATTTCTGTTTGGTGTTTTATTTTTAATTTTTTTGCAAGCAGATGCTGTTGCAGTTAAAGAACCTTGCGTTGGAGGCAGAGACGGAGCTGGAGCGGCAAGACGAAGTTCTGGACGTCCTGACAGAGTCAACGGACAGAAGCACCATGCAGATAGGGAAGCACTCAAGCCGTATGAAAAGACTGCTATAGTCCTGATGCTAGAGGATCACTGCGCGCTTCATCATGGTTCGTTTGTGCAGCAAAGACTGGTATATGATCCTGGGTATGGATCATGGAAAGGGTCTGGTTTATAGGCAGCAATTCACCAAAGTTTGTGAAAAGTTGCAGAGCAGTGATGAACTGCCTGTTCAAAAACAAAAAGGGAAACAAGAACATGCATTATTTTTTAACTGTAAAAAATAAGGCATCTCACATTTCTTTCACACTTCGAAAGCAAAAGTGTATTTTATTTATTTATTACTGTTTTTTATATTTCTTTAGTAAAAAAAAGTCTGCTTGTCTTGAAATGTGCTTTGAAAATCACATATGGCTCATTTGGCTCTGGGAAAATATTTCTGACTCAAACATCTGATAGTTTCAGATTCTTAACATGATTCAGAAAGTTTCACTCATCCATACGACAAGAGGAGGTAATTAGGTTTTCTAATAATTTTAAAGTAATAAATTGACATAATGTCAGCATATTGCAGTAAATTAGTCTTAAAATAACTTTGTGCTTAATGTGTTTGAATGTTTCTCAGGTGAAAAGTGTCTCTGAATCTGTGGCTTAATGTTGCATGTCTCCATTCACCTGTTATTACACCATAAACTGGGAGTTAATTGTAATATGATTGATCTGATCATTTGCAAAAGAAGACTAAACAAGGAACTTTTTAGTAAATCAGTGAAAGCTCCTTTAGTTTGATTTTGAATATATAAAAGAAATCAGACTGTTGATAAAAAAATGAGCTAATAATCAATTATTATTGTGAATATATTACACTGATATAATTTGTTATTTGATTATTGTTTTCTTATCACTGTTAAAATGCTAATAAGCAGTTAAGAAACTGGCTGTCAAATTTTAAGTTTGGACCTCTAGTTCATTGAGTGTTTGATGTTTTTCTGCTTCCTCTTATTACTGTAAATTATGCAATAAAACGAGAGAGAGAGAGAGAGAGAGAGAGAGAGAGAGAGAGAGAGAGAGAGAGAGAGAGAGAGAGAGAGAGAGAGAGAGAGAGAGAGAGAGAGAGAGAGAGAGAGAGAGAGAGAGAGAGAGAGAGAGAGAGAGAGAGAGAGAGAGAGAGAGAGAGAGAGAGAGAGAGAGAGAGAGAGAGAGAGAGAGAGAGAGAGAGAGAGAGAGAGAGAGAGAGAGAGAGAGAGATGAGAGAGAGAGAGAGAGAGAGGAGAGAGAGAGAGAGAGAGAGAGAGAGAGAGAGAGAGAGGATTTTAATCAAAAAAATGTTTGGGTTGCAGGGATTAGGTAACACTTCGTATTAACCCAGAGGGGGGGGGGGGGGGGGGAGGGGAGAGAGAGAGAGAGAGAGAGAGAGAGGAGAGAGAGAGAGAGAGAGAGAGAGAGAGATTATTCAGGTAGGAGAAGTTTTTTTTTAACCTGAAATTGAACTGAGTAGACTGAATGGAGCATGCTAAAAGTAGTCTGGTGCATCATCATCACTCAACATCCTCCTGAGTGACTGCTGTTTGCTTTTGCTGAAAACATTACTGTATACGTTTTGATCTAAGTAAATTATGAGTTTTAAAATAAGGGAAAGTCCTTTTTATTTCTTTCCAATTGTGCATGCACTGCATGAATCAGTCAAATGGGAAGTCATTAGAAATTCAAGTCTGTTATTTTATATGCAAAAAATGAAAATAAGTGGATTTCCTTAGTATTTTCTAGAGAAAGTATAAGCAGACAACCCTTTGCTGAGCTGTTGGAGTTTTCCTGTTTTTTTTTTCTTACTACATTAAAATGTGATTTATATGTATTTTTAGACCTACTTATCTATAAGTGAGACATTACTTGAGTTTCAGGAGTGCACTGGTTTCAGCCAAGGTGCAGAAGGTAGGCTGACTAGTTGAGGGCCCACCAACTCACTGGTGTGGCACCAAAACCCAAAATTTAAACAGAGGTTTCATAAGCTGTTGTCACATTAGTGGTTTAAAAATACCACCATAAACATTAGGAGTTGGGTAATCACCCCCTGATGCAGGCTTACACCCATTTCTTATCTATCGAACTTTCACCTAATGAAGGTCAGTAAATAAATGCATAAATGTTGAATGTACTTAGTCTCGCCCCCTCATCTTGTAAATATATTACTATCACCTCTAAAGCATAAAGAGAGAGTTTAGTTAAGTTGGCAAGATATTCACAGAGTTGACTTTTCCGGCTCAATAACTTCTGATCAGAATGTTATTTGAAACATAACACACCTCTTTGGTAAGAAGAGCTTCTAGCTTCTGCAGAAGCTGCATGTAAGAAGCTGGTTAGCAGTTATAAAATGTATTTAAATGCTTTAATATCAGTAAATGGGCAGCAGTAGCTCAACAGGCTGAGCGGGTTGTCCAGTAATCGGAAGGTTGCAGGTTCCATCCCGGCTCCGGACAGAGAATTCTGCTGTTGTGTCCTTGGGCAAGACACTTAACCCACGTTGCCTGCTGGTGGTGGTCGGAGGGACCGGTGGCGCCTGTGCTCGGCAGCCTCGCCTCTGTCAGTGCGCCCCAGGGCAGCTGTGGCTACATCGTAGCTCATCACCATCAGTGTGTGAATGGATGAATGATACACTGTAGTGTACAGCGCTTTGGAGTCCTTACTCTGAGGTCCCATACAAGTGCGTGTCATTTATCATTTATCATTTAAAGCCTTTTGCATTATTATTAAATAAATATTTCTCTACCTACCATTTTCTTCAATACCTTTTTATTTTCTTCTTATGTTCCTCTTTGTAAGAAAGAAAAGAAGAAGAAAGAAAACAACCTTTTATACAAGCGCCTCTCAAGATAAAAATCCCAAAGTGCTTCAACAGAACAAAAAATTCAAAATCCCAAAAATCTTCTAAAAATATGGTTAAAATTAGAAAAAAAAGAATTGTGATTTAAAAATGCAAGGCAGGGGAGAGAAAAAATAGTAAAGAGGGTAATCAGTGGATCCCAGGAGAGGTGGAATAAGTAGAAAGAACAGACAAAGGAGAGAGTGGTGATGGCCACACTAAAGCCAGCTTGAACAAGTGAGTCTTCAGCTGCTTTTTAAAGGAGACCACTGAGTCCACTGATCTCAGGCTCAGGGGGAGAGAGGTCCAGAGTCTGGGGGCCACAGCAGCAAATGATCTGTCACCTTTGGTCTTTAGCCTGGTGCTGCACAACCAGTAGGCTTTGGTCACTGGACCTCAGGGACCTGCTGGGGATGTAGGGACTGAGAAGATCACCAACATGGTGGTGCTTGTCCATGTAAGGCCCAATAGACCGTTGAAATGAACCCTGAAGTTGACTGGCAGTCAGTGAAGCTGGAGGAGGGTTCGGTGGCTTTAAGGCGACGTTTGAATTAGGATTTTATTTTTATTATAATCAGTATATTTATTGAGCCTGCAGAATAAATACAGACACTCAGTTGACCTGTTCTACCCCTAAGGCAGGGACTTAACTTGTAAATCAAACATGACCAATTATCAATGTGTTCATCTGCTATTCGATATATTTATCTGAAATTGCTCATCCACACAACCTACAATTTCCAAAGGAAAATCATGAAAACTATCAGGAGTGCCCAAATCTTTTCACAGCACTGTATTATTATTTAGCAGCTTGAGAAACTGGAGGTGTGGCATGAGAGCGCATGCAGTCAAATGCATGTCCTACCCTCACGAGTGAAAATTTGCAGCCTGATAAAATAAATACCCACTTCAGATCACTGTATCTCAAATTTATTTTGCTTGTAAAACAACTGTTTTTGTGAGCAAGTCAGCTCCACTGTGAGAGGTTTATGATTGGTCAGTCGATGCAGCGTGATCATACTGACTGCACATCATTCCCCTATCCCAAAGTCCGGAAGGATGGTCCGGAGCGCAAGCGGGGTGTTCTGCTAACCTGCAGTGATCACCAACGACAAAGACAAGAAAGTTAAGACAGAAATTAGTAGTATTTTTTCCAGTAGAATTTTTCATTATATTCTGAAGTTATATTTATTTTTATTTACATGTAAATTAAGAAAAAACATTTGCTTGATAAATGCTATGAAACAGTAATTACTGGTACTTTTATTGTCATTTAATATTTTATACTTGGTGAGTTTATTGATATTTTTTATGAAACGTGGTAAATGTTTGATTTTATCAATAAACAGGGTAATAAATTAAGATTCAATAGTTGGTTATATTCAGTGTTTAAACTGTTTAGGATCAGAAATATGCATCCACTGTTCATTAGTGATACGGTGCCAGAAATCAAGATATCGACCATAAAACTCTGCCCAAAATTCAGCAGGTCATGTGTCAGCTATTTCATTGTGAGTGATTTGTTTATTATTTATTTTTGTGTTTTACAAAGTTGTTCTGCATGTCGCTGCATGCTTGCTTAGTATAAGGATTGCTGTATAGTCACTGACACTAGTCAGTGACTTGATGCAATTTGCTGGGTTCCTTATATAGGACACATTATTTCTGATTGGCTCAATGAACTGTGAATTGGAATGTTTATTATGTGAAGTGCCTTGAGACGACTCTTGTCGTGATTTGGCGCTATATAAATAAACTTGAATTGAATTCTGCAGAGGTTCAGGTCCATAGTCAGTGGCAGCAGTAGTGGAAGACTGGCCCCGTCTCCTGGCATCCCATTAATAAATATATTTTAAACGAAGATCATTTACATTTATTTACAGAAATAAAGTGGCTTTTTTCTTCAGTATTCTCACCATTTTTGATTTTTCCATCAAAAATGTACTTTAATAATAGACGAAAGGAACCCAAAACATTGTGCCCTTTAGTTCACAATTATTCAATATTTCTGCAAATCAGAGCGCACACACACTAAGCACAGTTGGGTCGAAATAACACCAGCCCAGCAGGAGTAGTTTGATCCTGGAAGTTGTTGGTCCATTTACTAAAATCATGGGTTGTTATAGTCTAGAAATCTAGAATGTAAATTATTTTGCTATGTATGTATATTCACATGTATGGGGGTTGTCATATTTGGTGAAATTAACAATTTGTAAAAATAATTATAACACATTACAGCAGAATCTCTAAATACTAACTTGCAATAAACTGTCCATATGCAAGCAACTGTTAAAACGTCAGTCCTATAGGAAGATACTTTCTGGATATTGACATGCAAATTAATCTACACTTGGACAATACTGGAAACTTTACAAGGTCCCAGCTTGAAGTATATTATTACAAAAAAAGTGACTGTGCAAAAAGTTATTGCTGAAAAATTACATGTACAAATAGTCATATAAAAAATTAAATGTGCACTATTCATGATAAGGTGTGGTTCAAACCCAAACATAGGTGAGTGAGGACTCTCCAGGAGGCAGTCGATTTTGAAGAATTCATTTTAAAATCAACAAGTCATGGCATGAGCAAGAACAGGCATGGAAACTCAACAGAAATAAAAAAAGAAGTGATGCACCAACAATATCTTTCAGAGTCAGAGGACTTCAAAGCGCTTTACACTACAGTTATCACTCATCCATTCACACACACATTAACACACTGATGGTGATGAGCTACGAAGTAGCCACAGCTGCCCTGGGATGCACTGGCAGAGGCGAGGCTTCCGAGCACAGGCATCAACAGTCCATCCGACCACAACAAGCAGAGAAGGTGGGTTAAGTGTCTTGCACAAGGACACAACACAAGAATTCTCTGTCGAGAACCCTGATCGAACCTTCAATCTTCTGATTGCTGGACAACCCGCTCAACCTACTGAGCCACTGCTGCCCCAGAAGATGCAATACAAGAAGAACGTAGAGTTTTAAGTGAATACACTGCTTTCAAGGCAACTCCATATTGTCCTTGTGACAAAGAAGGGACACACTGGAGAGAAGGTAAAGACAGGATCAGGTGGATCTGTGTTGTACCCATGCTTAGTCTGCGTTTGACCACCTAGAGGCAGCAAAGAGCTGATTTTAGCTCAACACTTTCATAAGTGCAACCACATGTA